CTCCCAAGTAGCTGGGACCACAGGCGCCCGCCACAACGCCCGGCTATTTTTTGGTTGCAGCCGTCATTGTTGTTTGGCGGGTCCGGGCTGGGGACTCGAACCCGCCACCTTAGGTGTACGTGGCTGGCGCCTTAGCCGGTTGAGCTATAGGCGCTGAGCCGCATGGTACTCTTAATAGAGTAAATTATGGCTATGTGAAACATTCTTTGCACAATGGTGAAGAGTTCTCTTCTTTTCCCTCCCCTGTTTGTTTTTGTTGGCTGTCCTGGTTTTTAGAGAAGAGTTGCACTTCTGCCCACCACTACTCCTTTCCTCATATTACACCAGTTTATTTGACAGTAATAAGAAAAACTCTTCTGGCTCAGAGCCTCTAGCTCAGTGAAGGGCTCAAAAGTAAAGTAGAGCCACTACTATTCAATGTGGTTCTGGAAGATCTAGCCAGTGAAATCAGGCAAGAGAAGGAGGTTAAGGGCATCCAGATGGGGGCAGAGGATGTCAGACTCTTGTTCTTTGCTGTTGATATCATTTTATACTTAGAAAATACCAATACTAAACCATAGACTCCTGGAATTGGTCAAAAAATACAATAACATCTCAGGGTATAAAATCAGTATGGAAAAATCAGAAGCCTTTGTATATGTCAAAACAGTCAACTTGAGAGGCAATTCAAGGACACAGTATCCTTCACAGTAATTTCAAAAAAAATGAAATACTTGGGAATATACCAAACAAAGGAAGTGAAGGATCTTTACAAAGAGAATTATGAAACCCTAAGAAAAGAAATAGCAGAAGACGTTAACAAATGGAAGTGTATACAGTGCTCTTGGCTGGAAAGAATCAATATATAGACATTTTTAACAATGTTGATTCTTGTATTACCCAAAGCAGTTTACAGATTTAATGCAATTCCCATTAAAATGCCAACATCATACTTTGAAGAAGTGGAAAAAATAGTTCTTTGTTTTGCATGAAATCAGAAAAAACTGCATGTAGGCAAGGCAATTCTTAGTAATAAAAACAAATCCAGAGCTATAATTCTACCAGACTTCAGGTTATATTACAAGTCCACAGTGATCAAAACAGCATAGTATTGGCACAAAAATAGAGACATAGACATATGGAACCGAATAGAAAATCAAGAGATGAAACCAGTCTTTTATAGCCATATAATCTTTGATAAACCAAACAAAAGCATACAGTGGAGAAAAGAATCCCTGTTCAATAAATGGTGCTGGGAGAACTGGAAAACCACATGTAAAAGACTGAAACCATACATGTACCTTTCTCCACTTACAAAAATTGACTCAAAATGGATAAAAGATTTAAATCTGGGGCATGAAATGATAGCAGTCCTAGAAGAAAGTGTGGGAAAAACTGTGATGAGACTCCTTTGGAGTAACAACAAAAATAAATAAATGGGACTTAATTAAGCTGAAAAGCTTCTGCATAGCTAAGGACACAACAATTAAATAACCTTCAATATGGGGAAAGATATTTGCATGTTAGGAATCTGACAAAGAGTTGATAGCTAGAATCTATAGAGAACTCTAACCCCCCAAAAGAGCATGTAATCCCATGTATCACTGGGCAAGAGATATGAACAGAACCTTCTCTGAAGAAGACAAATGGCCAAGAAACATGAAAAAATGCTCATCATCTTTAATCATCAGAGAAATGCAAATCAAAACCACCCTGAGATAATCACCTGACCCCAGTGAGAATAATCCACATCACAAAATCCCAAAGCTACAGATGCTGGCGCAGATGTAGAGAAAAGGAAACATATAGTTGGAGAGTATGAACGAGTATAGCCTGTCTGGAAAGAAGTATGGAAAATTCTCAAAGAACTCAAAATAGACCTTCCATTTGATCCTGTAATCCTATTAGTAAGTATCTACCCAGGAAAAAACCGCCATTTTCTTGTAAGGACCTTTGCACTACATTGTTTATCACAGCTCAGTTTACAGTCGCCAAGATGTGGAATCAAACCAAGTGTCCGTCAACCCACAAATGGATTAATAAATGGTGATACATATTAAAAAAAGAAAAAAGTAAACTGTGATTGATATATATATACACACACACGCACACATATACACACAAACACATTTATAGATAGACATACCATGGAATATTATTCAGCCATTAAAAAAGATGGAGACTTTACATCTTTTGTATTAACCTGGATAGAGTTGGAGAACATTCTACATAGTACTTAAAATATGATAAGAATGGAATAGCAAGTATCCAATGTATTCAGTATAGATATGAAACCAGTAGACAAAGTAGTACACACCCACACAGAAAAACTCAATTCAGGTTGGGGGGAATAGGTAAAGAAGGGGATTGGTGTACCTAATGGGTACAATGTAAGGATATGTGGTACACTTTCTGGGCAAGGTGCGCAGTTACAGCAGGGACCTCACCTAATAAATGCAAACATTGTAACCTAATCATTTGTACCTTCATATTAATCTGAATTTAAAAAAAAAAAGATTTTTAAAAAGTCTCGGCTTTTGTAGCTCAGCGGCTAGGGCGCTAGCCACGTACACTGGAGCTGGCAGGATCAAACCCTGCTCAGGCCTACCAAACACCAATGACAACTACAACCAAAAAATGGCCGGGCATCCTGGCAGGTGCTTGTAGCCCCAACTACTCAGGAGGCTGAGGCAAGAGAATCATGTAAGCCCTAGAGTTTGAGGTTGCTGTGAGCTGTGACATGACAGCACTCTACTGGGAACAACATAATGAGACTCTGTTTAAAAAAATATTTTTTAAATAGAATACTTTATTTCAGCTGAGGGACATTCATAAAAAGTATTAGGATTTTTTGGGCGGCACCTGTAGCTCAGTGGGTAGGGTGCTGGCTCCATATACCTAGGGTGGCAGGTTCAAACCCAGCCCCAGCCAAATTGCAACAGAAAAATAGCCGGGCAGGCCAAAAGTGGCAGGCCCCTGTAGTCTCAGCTAGGCAATTCTCTTGCCTCAGCCCAAGAGTTGGAGGTTGCTGTGAGCTGTGTGACGCCACGGCACTCTACTGAGGGCAATAATGTGAGACTCTGTCTCTACCCCCCCAAAAAGTATTAGGGTTTTAGTCAAATTCTTATGCTAAGAATCTCTTTCGAAGCCTAGGTATTTAGATTGAGAATGGACACTTAAAGGATATTGTTAATCAATGTTTTGCAAGTGTGAGACTATATAAAGACCATTATTTCCCACACTGCCATTTTATATATAGTCTCACACTTGTTTATTGGCACAACTGGGTGTTCTCACTTTCAATTCAGTTTCTTTTTATTTTAATTTTTTTTTTGAGACAGAGTCTCATTGTGTCGCCCTCGGTAGAGTGCACTGGGGTCACAGCTCACAGCAACCTCACACTCTTGGGCTTAAGCGATTCTCTTGCCTCAGCCTAATGAGTAACTGGGACTACAGGTGCCCACCACAACGCCTGGCTATTTTTTGGTTGCAGTTGTCATTGTTGTTTAGCAGGCCTAGACCAGACCTAAACCTGCCAGCCTCGGTGTATGTGGCCGGCACCCTACTCACTAAGCTACAGGCGCTGAGCCTCAGTTTCTTTTTAAAGTTCCATATATCATTCCTCTACATTATGATTTGCCATTTTTCAAAACAGTGTTTTGATGCACTCTGATGGACTCTAATGGTTAGAATTTGCTGCTTTCAAAATAGAGTTTTGTTAAACAAAAATTAAGTATATAACTGAAGGAAATGAAAAAAAGTAATGGAGTAGTTGCATTTTATAATCAACACATAGACGTTTTCTAATTGGTATACCTAGGTTAACCAGTTTTGTCAGGTGATTTATAGTCTAGTTTAATTAGCCATGAAAGTGAATTGATGTTTGGAAAATTGAGGTTGTCTGCATCATAAAAATTTAGAAAGTACCTATTTTTAATGTTCAAAAAGCTCTTTCAGTCAGAACAATCTGGCCTTGTTAATATCAGTATGATTTATGATATTGCTAGAAAATGAAGTTCAAGGTTCTACATGTCTAAAATCAGTTAAGAATGTTCTTGAAGCATTTATGAATAGGAAGTAGCTACTATTTAGACATTTGACTTTTTTAAAATTAGGTATCCATTGGTGCATTATATCACAATAATTTTAAAGGACTAGTATTTAGAATTTAGGTTTACCTCTTGACCTAGCCACTGTAAGACCTCAACTGGATATGTTAGTGGCATATGACTTACAAGTTCTGGGCTACCATAGCCCCCATCAAATTGCTTAGTAGCTTTCTTATGCCTCTTCTCCCTATTTTAGGGACAGCTGTTGAGGTTTTGATACTTATTGTGCTTGTTAATATTTATGTGTTTGATTCATTCTCTCCCCCAAATCTCCATTCAAGGTAGAGTAAAAGAGAATTTAAGTGATCTTTTTTTTTTTTTTT